TTTGAAAAATTCATCGGATTCGCTTGAAATTCGTTACTCTGGGGTTTTTGGGGTCGCTGATTACGAATTCGAAGTCAGATTTCAAAAATTCAAAATGGCGGATCCAATATGTCTGTGTCAGCCATATTGGATCCGCCATTTTGAATTTTTAAAAACCGACTTCAAATTCGTAATCAGCGACCCCAAAAACCCCCGAGTAACGAATTTCAAGCGAATCCGATAAACTTTTCAAAAATGTGTCCGCCATATTGGTTTTTTGAGGTTATGTCAAAATCCTGATCTGATGAAGTTAAATGGACCTCGGATTCGGATTCAGCGACCTAAAAACCATAAAGTCTACATAGTGAGACCCCCAGATCAGAACTTTTTTTTTGTGTGGCTGTGTTATCGATTGCTCCGAGTCGAAGACTCGGAGTGATCGATTTCTTCATGTTTTATAACAATTTTTTAAAAGTTGTTTAATTTCAAAAAGGTTTGAATTTGAAATTTTTGAAAATCTTAATTTTTATGGAAAAATTATAATGACTAAATATTTATTTAAAAATGATAAATATAACAATGCCCAATACAGTATTATATAAAAGTTCCATGTATTTGTAAAAAATATTTGAAATTATTTAATTTCGTAAAATATAAATGTAGTTTTAACAACCTGGAAAAATTCCGTTTTTTAACCTGAAAAAGTCAGGGAATTTGAAAAGATCAAAATCGTGGCAACCCTGAGTAAATGAAATTTTAGTAATTATTTATATAATAATTATTATTTTATTTTATGTTAAGATTTATTTAAGACAAATAAATATATTTAACAATTGTAGGATTTGATTGTTTAGAGCAAATAAATTATTTATCTTAATAAAACTGATTACTAACCCGTTCCTTGTTAACAACTAAACGTTGGGTCGTGAACTTCTTAGCGCAAAATAAATTCAATTTGTTATGTAAATTATAAAATCAATTCTTTTATATCATTATTCATACACCATGGGTATCAATGATACTAAATTTAGTAATAAATAAACAATTATTATTTATTATTTTTAAGTAATATAAAAATTTAAAAACAAATAAAATATATCGACTACATTTTTGCTGGACATTTGAGGCCAATCATGAATATTTTTCCAAACAGCGAAGGGGTTAAAAAAAATTTCTTTAAAATAAAAAGAATGTTGATAAAAAGTCAAGTCTTTTTCAAATAAGTAAACATATATTATTATGCTTTTGTAACGAAATTAACATGTTTGTAATAGTAATACTGATAACTTTTAGACTAATATATTATTGTTAACAATTTTTTTACCATTAATAAAATAAAACGTAACCACATATTACGAATATATGAGGCAAAATTCCTCAACTGCCCAGGTAAAAAAATGAATTTTCTCTAAACTTTGCTAACATGTTACTATTATTAGTAGAAGTGTAAATATTATTTTTTTTTAATACATAAAATATTTTTTGAGTTATGGAGTTTCAAAATTTTGATTTTTTTGAAAATATCTTTTTTTGATTTAATATATTGATAAGTAAAATTAATCAAATTTAAAGTATGAATAGTGATTTTTAAAGAGGTTTTCACGGCCAAGAAGCTAGTGACCTTTTTTATGAGCCATGTAAGAATCAGAGTGAGACCATGAGAATTTTTGAGGAAAATAATAATTTAGTATTATTTTACATAGAAAATGATGATTTATAATTAATTTCTTCAAAAACTTCCATGGTCCCACTCTGATTTTTAAATGGCTCATATGAAAAAAGGTAAGCTTTCGATTGGGATAGGTTACAAAAAAAATAAAAAACAGCGATTTTGAGATACAGTAGAACTTGGTTAATACGATTATGAAGGTACTGCACAAAGAATGCGTCTTATGCGGGAAAACGTATTAGGCGGGATATTAAATGTATGTCTTTAATTGCAGGGACCACCATAAATGAGCGTCTTAAGCGGGAAATCATATTAAACGGGATCTTATTAACCGGGTTCTACTGTATATTGAAATTAAGAATTTGACCTTGAATTTCAAGGTCAAATTGAGAGAAAACAACTTTTTTTTCATCACCAGCTTATAGCCCGTGAAAACCCCTTTAAAAATCACTATTCATACTTTAAATTTGATTAATTTTACTTATCAATATATTAAATCGAAAAAAGATATTTTCAAAAAAATCAAAATTTTGAAACTCCATAACTCAAAAAATATTTTATGTAATTAAATAAAATTAATATTTACACTTCTATTAATAATAGTAACATTTTAGCAAAGTTTAAAGAAAATTAATTTTTTTACCTGGGCAGTTGAGGAATTTTGCCCCATATATTCGTAATATATGGTTACGTTTTATTTTTTTACTCCGAATCCCTTTGAGATTCCAAGATGAAACTTACACGACATGTAAATTACATTTGCCCTAACATTTCGTTGAATTTTGAAAAGAATCGAAGATGATGTTTTTTTAAAAACAGATTTTTAATTTTTCAGAATTTAAAAAAAAAATTAATTTTTTTTATATTAATTTTAACTTAAAACCAAAGAAATCCTTTTTTTTAAAATCCAAAATCGGTTAATTAAAACCAAAGTTATAGCACTTAAAAAAAGACAAAAATTTTTAAAATGCCATATTTTTGGTAATTTTCAAAATTTTAAAAAAATATTTCGTGGAGTTGTTTATCACTATAAAAGTAATAAATTTATAAAAGTACAGCTAAATCCTAACAAGTCATGAAAATTAGTGTGTTGAACTGACGTGGAATCTACCATTATCAAGGTTACCTAAAAGTGGCCAGTCAAAGAAATAAAAATGGTAAATTTTACATCTTAAGCACATGTGTATTCTGTCAGAAAGTGCCTAAACTGAGAACCAGGAAACTGAGAATTTGATCATTTTTCGTCTAAAAAATTGAAAAATAATGCTTAATTACAAAATAAAGCATACTGGTCAACAGGGAATAAGGTTCTACGACACCTCGAGCAACAAAAGTATAAATACATAAAGTATTTTTTTTTTAAATGCGTGCCAGGAAACTGAGAATTTGTCCGACCAAATGGCCATTTCGGTCACAAAGTACACAATTTTAGTTAATTGAACTGCAATTTAAGTAAAATGCAAGTGATATCATATTTAGTTAACCTTTACTAAGCACTGTGAAAAATGGTGAATTAATCGGAATGAAAATTCTTAATATTTTTAACGTTTTTTATGCCAGGAAACTGAGAATTAATTCGATGGACAAAATTCAAGATAATATTTTTTAAATAAAATATCAAGTAATGTAACAATTATTTTAATCTTTGTAAAGTACAACTATTTGAAATTATTATCCAAGTGAAAAATTGTATTTAATCGCTTAAAAATAATATTTAAATATAATTTATAATTTATTAACACCTTAGACATCATATATTCCCTCGTTTGTAGAACTACCCATATGGAAAAATTAACAATCAAAACTAAACTTACCTATATATGTATCTATTTAAAAACTCATAAAAAACAAAGGATTTTTACATATAACAATTTATAAATGATATTATATTATGTTTATTATTTATTAAAAGTTATACGAATTACAAAGGAAATTTTTTTAAACGATGTACAAAAGACTTCACCGTATTTAAAAAATACACGTTTGAAACAATAAATTTTTAAACAATGAAAGAATCTGCCTTAATGATACAATCAATGTGAAATAAAAAAAATACTTAACCATTGTTAGCTCAAAAATCTACTCATTGAAAATTATTGCACAAATCTGCGGAATCTGCAGATGTTGGTAAATTTTCCCTTAATGCCCGCTTCTCTACAGGCATTTTAGGCAATAATTTACTTACGATTTTTAATTTCTTACTCTCATTTATTCCTCGTGGTGCTGATAAAATAGGGCCCAGTGGATTGCATACATCAAAATTCCTTTTTAAAATATCAATTCCTTTATAATTTGAATTGAATGATGTCTTGAACTTTAATAACTTACTGCCTCTTGTAAAACAGACTTCTTTTATGTTAGATAATAATGGCAAGTCGGAATTTTTTTGTTGCTTCCGATATGCATTATCGTCTAATTGTTTGAAGTCTTACGGTTCCATTTCTATAATTTCAATTAGAAGACTAATTCCTTTTAAAAATAATTTTAAGTCATCAAAATTTAGAATTTCTTCAGTTTTCTTCCAAACTCCTCCAATTTGACCATGAACACTATCGGCTTTCATATAAGTGTGCCCCACTTCCAGATACTTAATGATTACAGACTCTGGTCCACAATCAGAATTCACAACTTGCAGCAGCATACTAAAAAAGTCCAGTTTTATTTTGGGCAGAACAATTGAGGCTCTGGATCTTAAAAGGGCACTTTCAGCATTGATTTAACATGGTAAAAGTGCCCTTTTAAGATGCGGAGCCTCAATTGTCTGTCCAGAAAATAAAATGTCTAATATTTTCAGAAGACATTATAATTTTCAAATAAGATCAAGCAACATCTTTTGCTGTCCGTGCTCTAATTGCCTCGTGCCAAAGGACACAAATATTTTTGTCTTTGGAACGAAGAGATGCAAATGTTTCATTGAATACTACCAAACGACTGACAAAAAACTACTTTTGGTTTTCTTTTTGTCAAAATGATAACTTTTTGCATGTCTACAGCAAAAAAATTTGTGTTAATCGCCCATTTCGTATTTTTGTCTCGATACATTGTTTGTGTTTAGGACCTGACAATGGTTTGGTTAGGACGTCGGCAATCATTTCTTCCGTGGAGATGTATTTGATCTGAATCTGCTTCTTCCTTACTGCATCTCTGATGAAGTGGTGTTTGATATCGATGTGCTTGCTCCTTGGATGATAAGCGTGGTTTTCGGCAAGTTTTTGAGCACCGATATTATCGTTATAAATAGTAGAACTCGATATATCAGCAAATCCCAAGTTCGTAAGTAAAGATTGGAGAGATAAGATTTCTTTAGCGGCTTCTGTGAGTCCCATGTATTCCGCTTCCATGGATGATAAGGCTACTGTTCTCTGTTTTTTAGCTTCCCATATGTGATTGGTCCATTGCTGAGGATAGTTACAAATCCTGTGTATGAACGTCGGTCGTTTGGACAGCCACCCCAGTCTGAGTCGACGTAGCACTGAAGTGGTTCGGTGGAGCGCTTGAATATGATTCCTTGATTAATGGTACCTTTAAGATACCTTAGAACTCTTTTTGCTGCGTTCCAGTGTATGGGTCCGTTACAATCATTTAATTGACTCAATGAGCTGACAGTATAGGCGATATCAGGTCTGGTGGAAACGGCGAGGTACATTAAAGCACCTATAAGTTCCCTGTAAGGTACCTTTTCCTCCCCCTGATTGGTTGCGTCAGGTTTAATTAGTTTTACGTTTGAATCCATCAGTGTTCCAACTGGTTTGCATTCTGTCATCCCAAAGCAATCTAAAATCTCCATAATATAACTTGATTGATGCATAGTTAATATTATATAATAAATTTTATTTTCAATAAACGAATATTCATCTACAAAAAAGAGGAATTTTTGTTTATATTTGAGAGTTTTTTAACTCAAAGATGAATTTTAACCTTTCTTCTTTGATTAAAATTAATCCTCTCAAATTGAAACAAACTTATACTACAAAGAAGATTTTTAATTTGTTTTTTGTTTTTCTGGACGCAACTTCAAACTGTTTAAAAAGTGACATTTAATACAAAATATAAAAAAGGAAAATCCTCTCAATTAGAAAGGAAAACTTTAGTGCCCACATATAAGAGGAAAAAATGCTGCAAAAGAAGAGGAATCGTATAAAATTGAGAACTTTTTTTTGTCCCACATGCACAAAAATGGCGCTTTCTGATAGCAGACGACAGGAAAGAAAGTCATTCATTTCTTCGAACGTATGAAAATCACCGTAAAGAAATGGCTGCCTTTATCCTCTTGTTGCTTAATATACTATTTTCAGTGTATTATTATTATTTATCCGGATAAAGGTGAGGATCCATGTTTTTGTCAATTATTTATTTATGACCCTGAGGATTCAATCAGATACAGATTAAAAAGTAACGAAAATTTGGATGAAGACGTTTTTAAATCTATAGAAAATATTATGAAAAAATCTAATGCATAGGAAAATCTTACATGATGATGTCAGAGGTTATTTAAATAGAAGCTGAATTAGCAAGACAAAAAATTAAGAAATTCCTGAGTTACAATTTTTGTTCACGTTGAAAAAAGGCTTTGATAAAAATAGATACAATTTTCAAAGTTTTAATGAAGTTGCTGCAATTTTTAATACAAACTCTGAAGGAGAAACACCAGAATCTTATGTAACGGTTTGTAATAAATCTACAAATTAATTGAAATTGATTAGTAATTTAGATCCGAATGTTGAACCATGGATTTATCCCATATTTTATCCACTTGGAAATAAGGGTTATAATATTAATATGATTCGTAGTGATAGTGATTACAAAAGTAGAAATCATAGGAGAGATTTGTCAGGGTTGGGAAGTGTTTAGGGTTGAGCCACCGCGTTTATTTCGTTTTATCGCACTAGCGCCATCTATCTTTTCACGAAAATTCTTGCTACTAATGTCAGACATCTTCTTATATGAGTCGCAGTTAAGTGTACCAACCTATACTTGACTATCGTACCAATTTGTGATATAGCCTCAGCAAAAACTTTTTTGTGGTGTCAAAAAAAGAGAACTAAATGTAGAAGAAATGTGCCAAAGACAAAATAAGTTTACAGAAATTGTTTATTAAGATGATATGTGAAAATGTGTAAACTAATTTGGTGTTTGTGTCACGCGTTTGTGTTCTGTGCCCCTGTGACGAAAAACGACGCGTGAGTCAGAGTTGGGCCATGAGGGAAATTTTGCAATTACAAAGCGTACTTGCAACAGAAATTTATTTTTTTACTTAAAGAGGTGTTAAAAACTCCATTTTCATTGGAAAGAGAGAGAAAAAAATTTTTTGGTAACCTTTTTTCAATTTTTTAATTTTGGATTTCGTTTATGAGGAATAAATTATCTAAAGTTATATGAAAATACATAATATGGGATTTTATTGTAATTTCATGGTTCCTTTCCTCATTCCCAAGTGTCAGTCTATCATTTGAAGGTCATTTTTAATCATTTACCTAAATATTTCATTGATTTTCTACAGTGTCCTAACTCTGGCAACCATGATCAACTTTGGCAACAATTTTTTTTTGAATTGCTTATAACTCTGAAACTTTTGGTCCGATTTTTTTACAATGTTCAGCAAAAACATTGCATTTGAGTTGATCTTTCCACAAGGAAGTAATGAAGGAAAAAAGTCGAAAATATGCCTAACTCTAACAACTTTCCCCTACTATTTCTAGGTCTGCCTACATTAAATACAAAATTGCTGTAAGAGATGGTGGATTCCACGTCAGTTCAACACACTAATTTTTATGACTTGTTGGGATTTAGCTGTTCTTTTGTAAACTTATTACTTTTATAGTGATAAACAACTCCACCAAATATTTTAAAAATTACCTAAAATATGGCATTTTCAAAATTTTTGTCTTTTTTTTGAAAATGCTATAACTTTGGTTCTAATTAACCAATTTTGGATTTTAAAAAAAGGATTTCTTTGGTTTTAAATATATTTTAAGTTAAAATTAATATAAAAAAAATCAAAAATTTTTTTTTTGAAATTTTGAAAAATTAAAAATCCGTTTTTGAAAAAACATTATCTTCGATTTTTTTTCAAAATTTAACTAAATGTTAGGGCAAATGTGCTTTATATGTTCTGTAAGTTTCATCTTGGGATCTCAAAGGGATTCGGAGTAAAAAAATTAAACGTAACCACATATTACGAATATATGGGGCAAAATTCCTCAACTGCCCAAATAAAAAAATTAATTTTCTCTAAACTTTGCTAAAGTGTTACTATTATTAATAGAAGTGTAAATATTAATTTTTTTTTAATTACATAAAATATTTTTTGAATTATGGAGTTTCCAAATTTTGATTTTTTTGAAAGTATCTTTTTTTCGATTTAATATATTGATAAGTAAAATTAATCAAATTTAAAGTATGAATAGTGATTTTCAAAGGGGTTTTCACGGGCTATATACTGGTGATGAAAAAAAGTTGTTTTCTTTCAATTTGACCTTGAAATTCAAGGTCAAATTCTTAATTTTTATATACAGTAGAACCCGGTTAATGCGATTTCCCGCTTAAGACGCTCATTTATGGTGGTCCCTGCAATTAAAGACATACATTTCATATCCCGTCTAATACGTTTTCCCGCATAAGACGCATTCTTAGTGCGGTCCCTACATAATCGTATTAACCAAGTTCTACTGTATCTCAAAATCGGTGTTTTTTATTTTTTTGTAACCTATCCCAATCGAAAGCTTACCTTTTTTATATGAGCCATGTAAAAATCAGAGTGGGACCATAGAAGTTTTTGAAGAAATTAATTATAAATCATCATATTCTATTTAAAATAATGATAAATTACTATTTTTTTTAAAAATTCTCATGGCCCATATAGAAGTAGATTGTTTCAACAATGGGTGGTTAAAAATGATATAAAAATATAAAAAGATAGATTAAGATTTTGTCCTAAATAATCAAGCTCAATTGTCAAGTGAAACATATAAAGGACTGATGGATTATTTACACAATTATGAATTGGAAAATGATGTACACGTGGGAAAAACGCTTATATTGCCTTCTACTTTTATAGAATCACCTCGCAATATAATGCAACAATATCAGGATTCGATGGCTATTGTTGCTAGTCATGGTAGACCAGATTTATTTATCACAATGACGTGTAATCCAAATTGGAAAGAGATACAGGAAAATTTATTCCTCCATCAAACTGCTGCTGATAGACCTGGGGTGGGATTACGCTTAGCAACTTTGCTACGTAGCGTTTTGCTAAGTAGCGCTTTTTGTTGTTTAGCGCAAAAAAGTTATATTTTTTTGTAGAAGCTAATTGAAAATTAATTTTCCAGGCGTATTTAATTGGTAGTTTTATATAAATCGTAAAGAAAAGTTTGTATTTGGAAAAATAAAATCTAGTTAATCTAACTAATTAGTATTTTGGCAAGAAAAAATTGTCTAATTTCTAGGATTTATAGCGCTAAGCACTTCATGAGGGCAAAAAAAATTAAAAGCGTCAATGAGTTGTTTATTATGTGTTTATTAATGTGTTATTTCTAAAAAGTTTTGCAAGATTACTTGAGAAAGTCATTTAAAATAAATTACTACACACTGTGATTTTTATTATAAAAAATATGTGGAATTTGTACATATGTATAATACAGGTGGAGAAATTTGAGCGTGACTACGTTTTTCTAAATAATTCATTAAAAGTTATTGTATTAGATTTTTAAATAGTATTTACTTTTAAAATCAAACCATTATATATAGATACAGCGGATAATATCAGCGCACCTAGTGTACTCATTAGAAACATAAATTTAAATATCTATACGGTCGGTTACACAGAAATCTATAAAAAATTTAATTTACAAATTTTTGGAAAAATAAATGTGGCATCGAAATGGGAAATAAAGTAAAATATGACTTATAATTTTTAAAAAAGGAGCTTCGTTATTTATACCTGTTTTTCTGACTAACTCCTGAAAAATGACTGACCCAAAATAAGATGTAGTCAATTAAAAAGAATGTAGTGAATTTATATTACTTTTTCAGAAAACAAGGAGATTTTCCTCGCTTCGAATATCAATAAAATCGTAAAACCGAGAATTGACTTATAAATTAATAAAATAAAATGAAAAAAATTGTAGACGGAACAGAAGGAAAACGAATCTTGGCAGAAAAAATCGAAATGTGTAAAAGAAGACAATTATTGAAGAAGAAGAGAAAGAAGAAGTTAATAATAAGATTATATAGTTTCTTAATTTTATTTTATTTTTGAAATAAATTGAATATATTTTGGAAAATTTAATGAATAAAAAATAATAAAATAAAGATGAATACATAAAAAAAACAAATGAGATTTTTAACAGTTAAGAACAACATTTAACTTTCGCTAAATGAATGACTTAAAGCCTTGTGGGTTTTATGTGTAAAAAGTGTGACTTTATTTGCCCAAAACAGGTCTAAAAATGAAAATCTTTTTTCTTGTCCAAAGAGTAAAACAATAGGTATATATATAGAGGATGACGCTGAGTCTGACGTTAACGATCAGATTGTCGCTGTTGCTGAACGATTTTGAAATTTTTACATCAGAATTTATTCTCCAATTTTTTTTCTTCTTTATACCAGAAGGTATTAAGTCACTGTTGCCGCTCTACTATTTTATGACGACAGATTTCATTTTGTTTTCCTTAATTTTCTTATAGAATTTTAACTTTTTTCTATTTTATTTTGTTTTCCTTAATTTTCTAAAAGAATTTTAATTTTTTTATATTTATGACAAAAGAATTGGGACGTGCAATAATAAAATATTAAAATAATAAAATA